TATTAAATTCAAAAATAGCAGAGGAACGAACTATTCGAAGTTTTTTTAGTAATAACAAAAAAACTTCAGCTGCTTATTCGAAGTTTTTTAGTGCAGTATGATTTTTAGTTTAGCTAGTGTAGGAGGAAAACTTCAGCCTCCTGCTGAAAGTTTTTGAGTAATAACAAACAAACTTCAGCTGATTGGCCGAAGTTTTTTTAGTGCAATATCATTTTTTAATTTAACCAGTGTAGGAGGAAAATTTCAGGCTCCTTCTGAAGTTTTTAAGTAATAAATAAAAAACTTCAGCTGTTAGGCCGAAGTTTTTTTAGTGCAATATGATTTTTTAATTTAGCCAGTGTATGTGAAAAATATGCTGAAGTTTTTGAGTAATAACAAAAAAACTTCAGCTGCTTGGCCGAAGTTTTTTTAGTGCAATATCATTTTTTAATTTAACCAGTGTAGGAGGAAAATTTCAGGCTCCTTCTGAAGTTTTTAAGTAATAAATAAAAAACTTCAGCTGTTAGGCCGAAGTTTTTTTAGTGCAATATGATTTTTTTAATTTAGCCAGTGTATGTGGAAAACTTCAGCCTCCTGCTGAAGTTTTTGAGTAATAACAAAAAAACTTCAGCTGCTTGGCCGAAGTTTTTTTAGTGCAATATCATTTTTTAATTTAACCAGTGTAGGAGGAAAATTTCAGGCTCCTTCTGAAGTTTTTGAGTAATAACAAAAAAACTTCAGCTGCTAGGCCGAAGTTTTTTTAGTGCAATATGATTTTTTAATTTAGCCAGTGTATGTGGAAAACTTCAGCCTCCTGCTGAAGTTTTTGAGTAATAACAAAAAAACTTCAGCTGCTTGGCCGAAGTTTTTTTAGTACAATATCATTTTTTAATTTAACCAGTGTAGGAGGAAAATTTTAGGCTCCTTCTGAAGTTTTTAAGTAATAAATAAAAAACTTCAGCTGTTACGCCGAAGTTTTTTTAGTGCAATATGATTTTTTAATTTAGCCAGTGTATGTGGAAAATTGGAAAATATGCTGAAGTTTTTGAGTAATAACAAAAAAACTTCAGCTGCTTGGCCGAAGTTTTTTTAGTGCAATATCATTTTTTAATTTAACCAGTGTTGGAGGAAAATTTCAGGTTCCCTCTGAAGTTTTTAAGTAATAAATAAAAAACTTCAGCTGTTAGGCCGAAATTTTTTTAGTGCAATATGTTACTAACATATCACACATTAAATTAGAATTCAGTGAATTAATCAGAAAGCATTTTGAATTTTGGAGATGAATTTGATTTGAATATGGAATTTATATTCCTTCACTGAAATTCGTCAAACAACCAGAAAACATAAAATTCAAAAACTATTTTGAATTCTGGAGATGAATTTGAATACTTACAATGTATTTGAATTTGAATTTGAATACGAGACGCGTTCTCAGGAGGAGATACGGAGGAGATCTGTAATTTGAATCTGTGAATACGGAGGAGTGACACACTTTTATATGTTTTGGAAGGGGTATAATGGTCATATTAACACGGATTTTCTGTTAGTTGGTTACGAAATCAATAATTTTTAAAAACAGGGTATAGGTTAAAAGGTGACATAAAAAGTGGGTACCGCTGCAAATCCCCCGTTTTACGACCATCGAGTGGTTCGCCGATCACCAGAGTTTTAGGTACCGATACACTGGTGAGTTAAATCGTTTTATCATGGGAGGATATATTCCATAACCTCGGGTACTTGAGGGGAATAATTTCCTTAAGGACACATTGTGTATTCAGTGGGCTCGATTTGTGCCTTCAACGTTTCAAAAATTATTTTGAAGTTCGAATATTATTTTTCAGAATTGTTTCTACTAACTTTCTGTTTTATTTTTCAGAAAGATTACTATTTTATTTACTTACAGCAATACAGATAAATAACAATTTGTTCCTATTAAATAGGTTTTTCTTCTTAGACAAGAAAAAAAAAGGGGGGGGGGGGGATAAACGACTAATTTTATAAAGTTATGATAAATTTGGACTTTTTTTCCTTTTCTGTTGACAACAGAAGTGCCTCCTTTACGTGACTATTATTTACAATGGTCAATATAGATAGCTAAAATATCCAAGGTATAACTTTGTTGAAAATAAAGGGCGTATATGATACTTTAAGAGGCGCACAGACCAGTTAATTGTATCAGTTATATTTTAAATTTGGAACGAAAAGAAAATAATACTTCCTGGCATGTGACGCATAATAAGACCATTTGGATCGGAATAACATTCATTGAAATGTTCTAACATAAAATAATCGAGCATGAAAGAGATATATTGACAACAATTAAAAGGTGGACGCATGTTGTAACGACGAGGTCATTTTAACCAAATTTTTAAAAGATGGCATGAATGACTATTAATTTTCTAAAGTTCAAGGGCGAATTTGAATTGTTTAATT